GTCACTTCACCCTTAACTAGTCTCTGTTTATTCTGCAACTCCCGTTTCGAGTTACTAATCTTAGCAACTGAACTAATAGCAAATACTGAGGGGTTGCTATAAACACTAGTAAAGTACACATCAATAACATGTATATCAAATATACTTATGTTCACTTTGCCATCCTTCTTATCCGCCAATCACTTGGGGTAGTTCCGCTTCCAGTGACCAATCCTTTTGTAGTAGAAGCACTTAGTCTCAGGCTTAGGACCAGAGTTGGGTTTCTTCACTTGAGCAGCAACTCGCTTGCCGTTCTTCTTGAAGTTCCCCTTCTTCCCTTTGCCCTTTTCTTGAAACTAGTGGTCTTGTCAATCATCAACACTTGATGCTCTTTCTTGATTTCTACCTTCGTGAATTTCAACATCACGAAGAGCTTGGGAATCGTTTTCTTCATCCCTTGCATTATAGTTCATCACGAAGTTCCACTAACTTGGTGATGGTGACTAGAGAACTCTGCCAATCACTATCTTATCTGGAAGATTAACTCCCACTTGATTCAAGCGATTGTAGTACTCAGACAATCTAAGCACTTGCTCACTAGTTGAGCGATTATCCTCCATCTTTTAGCTATAGAACTTGTTGGAGACTTCATGTCTCTCAACTCGGGTATTTGCTTGAAATATTAACTTCAATACCTGGAACATCTTATATGGTCCATGACGTTCAAAACGTCTTTGAAGTCCCGATTCTAAGCCGTTAAGCATGGTGCACTAAACTATCAAGTAGTCATCATATTGAGCTAGCCAGACGTTCATAACATCTGCATCTGCTCCTGCAATAGGTCTGTCACCTAGCGGTGCATTAAGGACATAATTCTTCTGTGCAGCAATGAGGATAAACCTCAGATCACGGATCGAATCCGCATCATTGCTACTAACATTTTTCAACACAATTTTCTCTAGGAACATATCAAAATAAACATATGAAAGCAACAACGCGAGCTATTAATCTATAACATAATTTGCAAAATACTACCAGGACTAAGTTCATGATAAATTTAAGTTCAATTAATCATATTACTTAAGAACTCCCACTTAGATAGACATCCCTCTAATCCTCTAAGTGATCACGTGATCCAAATCAACTAAACCATGTCCGATCATCACGTGAGATGGAGTAGTTTTCAATGGTGAACATCACTATGTTGATCATATCTACCATATGATTCACGCTCGACCTTTCGGTCTCCGTGTTTCGAGGCCATATCTGTATATGCTAGGCTCGTCAAGTTTAACCCGAGTATTCCGCATGTGCAACTGTTTTGCACCCGTTGTATTTGAACGTAGAGCCTATCACACCCGATCATCACGTGGTGTCTCAGCACGAAGAACTTTCGCAACGGTGCATACTCAGGGAGAACACTTCTTGATAATTAGTGAGAGATCATCTTATAATGCTACCGTCAAACAAAACAGAATAAGATGTATAACAGATAAACATCATATGCAATCAAAATATGTGACATGATATGGCCATGATCATCTTGCGCCTTTGATCTTCATCTCCAAAGTACTGTCATGATCTCTATCGTCACCGGCACGACACCATGATCTTCATCATCTTGATCTATATCAATGTGTCGTCACATGGTCGTCTCGCAAACTATTGCTCTTGCAACTATTGCTATCACATAGCGATAAAGTAAAGCAATCATTTGGCACTTGCATCTTATGCAACAAAGAGACAACCATAGAGCTTCTGCCAGTTGCCGATAACTTCAACAAAACATGATCATCTCATACAACAACTTATATCTCATCACGTCTTGACCATATCACATCACAACATGCCCTGCAAAAACAAGTTAGACGTCCTCTACTTTGTTGTTGCAAGTTTTACGTGGCTGCTACGGGCTGAGCAAGAACCGTTCTTACCTACGCATCAAAAACCACAACGATAGTTCGTCAAGTTGGTGCTGTTTTAACCTTCGCAAGGACCGGGCGTAGCCACACTCGGTTCAACTAAAGTTGGAGAAACAGACACCCGCTAGTCACCTGTGTGCAAAGCACGGCGGTAAAACCAGTCTCGTGTAAGCGTACGCGTAATGTCGGTCCGGGCCGCTTCATCCAACAATACCGCCGAACCAAAGTATGACATGCTGGTAAGCAGTATGACTTGTATCGCCCACAACTCACTTGTGTTCTACTCGTGCATATAACATCACCGCATAAAACTTAGGCTCGGATGGCACTGTTGGGGAACATAGTAATTTCAAAAAAATTCCTATGCACACGCAAGATCATGGTGATGGCATAGCAACGAGAGGAAAGAGTGTATGTCCACGTACCCTCGTAGACCGTTAGCGGAAGCGTTATGACAACGCGGTTGATGTAGTTGTACGTCTTCACGATCCGACCGATCCAAGTACCGAACGTACGGCACCTCCGAGTTCAGCACACATTCAGCTCGATGACGATCCCCGGGCTCCGATCCAGCAAAGCTTCGGGGATGAGTTCCGTCAGCACGATGGCGTGGTGACGATGATGATGTTCTACCGGCGCAGGGCTTCGCCTAAACTCCGCGACGATATGACCGAGGTGGAATATGGTGGAGGGGGGCACCGCACACGGCTAAGGAACGATCCGTAGATCAACTTGTGTGTTCTAGGGTGCCCCCTGCCCCCGTATATAAAGGAGCAAGGGAGGGGGTGGCCGGCCTAGGAGGAGGCGCACCAAGGAGGAGTCCTACTCCCACCTGGGAGTAGGATTCCCCCCCCCCCTTCCAAGTAGTAGGAGTAGGAGTCAAGGAAAGGGGGAAGAGAAGAGAAGGAAGGAGGGAGCGCAGCCCCTCCCCCTAGTCCAATTCGGACTAGGCCTTGGGGTGGCGCCCAACCTCTCCTTTCTCTTTCCCCTAAAGCCCAATAAGGCCCATATACTCCCCGGCGAATTCCCGTAACTCTCCGGTACTCTGAAAAATACCCGAATCACTCGGAACCTTTCCGAACTCCGAATATAGTCGTCCAATATATCCATCTCTACGTCTCGACCATTTCGAGACTCCTCGTCATGTCCCCGATCTCATCCGGGACTCCGAACTCCTTCGGTACATCAAAACTCATAAACTCATAATATAACTGTCATCGAAACCTTAAGCGTGCGGACCCTACGGGTTCGAGAACTATGTAGACATGACCTAGAACTATTCTTGGTCAATAACCAATAGCGGAACCTGGATGCCCATATTGGCTCCTACATATTCTACGAAGATCTTTATCGGTCAAACCGCATAACAACATACGTTGTTCCCTTTGTCATCGGTATGTTACTTGCCCGAGATTTGATCGTCAGTATCCAATACCTAGTTCAATCTCGTTACCGGCAAGTCTCTTTACTCGTTACGTAATACATCGTCTCACAACTAACTCATTAGTTGCAATGCTTGCAAGGCTTATAGTGATGTGCATTACCGAGAGGGCCCAGAGATACCTCTCCGACAATCGGAGTGACAAAACCTAATCTCGAAATACGCCAACCCAACATGTACCTTTGGAGACACCTGTAGTACTCCTTTATAATCACCCAGTTACGCTGTGACGTTTGGTAGCACCCAAAGTGTTCCTCCGGTAAACGGGAGTTGCATAATCTCATAGTTACAGGAACATGTATAAGTCATGAAGAAAGCAATAGCAACATACTTAACGATCAAGTGCTAAGCTAACGGAATGGGTCAAGTCAATCACATCATTCTCCTAATGATGTGATCCCGTTAATCAAATGACAACTCATGTCTATGGCTAGGAAACTTAACCATCTTTCATTCAACGAGCTAGTCAAGTAGAGGCATACTAGTGACACTATGTTTGTCTATGTATTCACACATGTATTATGTTTCCGGTTAATACAATTCTAGCATGAATAATAAACATTTATCATGATATAAGGAAATAAATAATAACTTTATTATTGCCTCTAGGGCATATTTCCTTCATCGACTATGAAGACTCACTCGACCACCAGGAGATCAAGAGCCACTCTGTATCCAAACGGTCTGTAATTAAGTAGTCTTTATAGTCATGATGACACTTTATGTAAGGCGTTACCAGTAACGCCCATCTTTATGTACTTTAAACCCTGCATAACTGAGGGCCGGAGGGGTCTGGCGAACTCTATATAAGCCACCCCCCTCCTCAGTGTAAAGGGTTCGCACCCCTGTAACTCATATGCACATAATCCAGTCGACCGCCTCCGGGCTCCGAGACGTAGGGCTGTTACTTCTCCGAGAAGGGCCTGAACTCGTAAATCCCTTGCGTATACAACTACTCCATAGCTAGGATCTTGCCTCTCCATACCTACCCCCCATTCTACTGTCAGACTTAGAACCACGACAGGCCGGGCCGGGCTCGTGCTTTGTTTTGCAGCCCGAAAGGTAGTTCGGGCCAGGCTCGGGCTTCTCTTTTTCTATTTTTCGGGCCGGGCTTTCGGGCTTCGGGCCGGGCTTGCACGTACACGTACTAAAAAACAGCATTCGGGCCGGGCTTTCGGGATTCGGGCTTGATTTCGGGCCGGGCTCGGGCTTGAAATTAGGGAGTATTTCGGGCTTCGGGTCGGGCTCGGGCTTGAGAAATGAAGGTCGGGCTTTTACAAGCCCGGCCCGAAACCTGGCCCGACCCGACGTTTGCCCGGGTTTAAAGGAGGCTATATAGGGGCGCCCGAATCGGCGGGAGGTGCTTTAATGTTCGTGCGGTGCAGGCCAAACCGTGTACGCGGACAACCAAACAAACCGTATTCTTCACACGTGGGCCTGGTTGGGCCTAATGCCACCTGCCAAACACGTCCTCAGGACTCCCCCCAAAGCCCGACACTCAAAGAAAAAAAAAGCTAAGCCAAAGCCGAAAGGCCGGCCCAGTATTGTCTTCCTCTTTCCCCGATCCTTCTTCGTCTCCAGCTCCTCCTCTCTCATCTATCTCTGTCACGCACTCACACCGAGGCTAGGGTTCGGATCCGCATCTCGCCGCCGACGCCATGGACGAGTAAGTTCCCTTCCCCCCTCCCCCGCCCCCTCCCCCCTCTACCGCGCCCGGCGCTGACCCCCCGATCCCTCGCCGCAGCTTCTACGACGAGGACGGCGAGCAGCTCATGGACCCGGACGCCCGCTCCCCCTCGCCCGAGCGCGGGGCGCAGCCCTACGACGGCCTCGAGGACGACCTCGACGACGATGGCGCCGACTGGAACCGCGACCGCTCCCCGACCCCCGTGCACGGCGGCGGCGGCGACGACGGGTCCTCCTCCAGGCCCCGGAAGCGCCTCCTCAAGAAGGGCGGGGGCGGGAAGGGCGACGGCGGGGGCATGCCCGCCGACGACCTGGAGGACTGGGGCGAGGACGCGGCCGCGGGGCTGGCCGACGACGACGTGGGCGGGGACCCGGACGCCGACAGGAAGAGGAAGGGGTCCTCGAGCCTCAGGGACCTCGCGAGGGGGGGCGGCAAGGACAAGCATGAGAAGAAGAGGAGGAAGGAGGACGTGGGCATGGTGAGGGAGAAGAGGGGCTCGTCTTCCGGCGGCAAGGGCTCTGGCGGCGGCGGACGTGGGGGTGGGGACAGGGGCGAGGATCAGGATGAAGAGGGGGAGAAGGAGATCCAGGAGCTCTGGAATACCATCGCCGGGGATGGCTCAGAGGTGAGGACCATTGCTTCCAATCTTCTTTCAGTCTGTTGTCCATTACTCTTTATCAGTTGTAGGCGCTTGTATGTTGTAGTAAAGACTTGCACATTGTATCGGTTTTAGCAGCTCATGAGCTTGGTTACAACGGGTTCTAGGATAGTCCAGATTGAAGCGGCGATTCTATTGGTTAAACTGTGGTTAAGTTGATGTTATTTGTATGTTTATTAAATGTGTGTGCTTATTATTGAACCAGTTGTGCTTAGGTCTTAGGCAATGCATTTGTTCTGGGTCCATCAAGATTCTGCTGTCTTAATTTTGCAAGTAAAGCTCTGTTAGAGATAACTGGGATAGCTTTTGGTTTCTGCTCAGGCTATTGAATTGTTCTCCTTGATCCGTTGTTCTGATGATAAGCAGTCGCCAGCCTCTTGTTCTGATGATACTAATTGGAACCACTGTTCAACTGAATTCCATGTGCATAATACCATATTTTTAAATTTTGTTTTTTTTCCTAAGGTCTTACGATAATTGAGTTTGTTTCTGCTCCACGATAGCATCATAGCTTTGGACAAATTAACTGGCTGTGCTAACATTTTTTTCTCATGGAACAGGATGACGAAGAAGGTGTTAGAACCTTAGATGATGATAATTTCATCGATGATACTGGGGTTGACCCAGCTGACCGTTATGACAATGATAATGATGGCCACTCTCCTCGACGTTTTGCACAGGTGTTCATACTTAACTGCTCATATGCCATTGGTAATTCTTTTAGTTTCAGTGTTTAGACAAACTATCGTAATGGTCAAATCAAAGGTTTCTTTAGCTGAAGGTAACTGATTGAGGTGATCATTGTATTTTGACCCTACATCAGTCCAATGGTTTATATGGGCTTTGGCTAAACTTTTTGTTTCATATATATCAATGGTTTAGTATGATGATTTCCAAGCCGGCAAGGTTATGGACTCTCTCAGTGAATAACTATATATAAATATGTCATGCCCTATGATTCACGCAAGGTAACCGATTAAGGTGTTCATTGTGTATTTTGCCCCTACATCAGATCAATGGTTTACATGGGCTTTGGCTAGGGTGTTTTATTTCATATCAATGGTTATCATGGTGACTTCCAAGCCGGCCAGGTTATGGACTTCCTGGGTGAATAACGAAATACACATATGTCATGTGCTATGATTGTCTTAATGGGTGCTGGTATTCAACTAGAAGAATGATGCTAGTATATACCTGTCATGTAATCAGATAACCCTGGGGAATAGATAGTAGTTTTACGGGGTAAAGGGGCCTTTTTGACTGAGCTTTGACACCCTGTCGTATTTTAGCAGTTTCCAATTAAAATTACATGCTTTTACATTTCTTGGGATTTATTACAGAACATTTTGTTGATCCTGTTTGTTTCTTGTTTGCGTAAGCACGATGTGAATTTGTTCTTTTCATTACAGGCAGAGGAAGCTGAAGAGGACGACGAAATTGAGCGGCTCTTTAAGGGTGGTAAGAAAAAGAAGAAGAATGACCGACCACGTGCAGATATTGGTCTTATAGTTGAACAGTTCATTGCTGAGTTTGAAGTAGCCTCTGAAGAAGATGCCAACCTAAATAGGCAACATAAACCAGCCATTAACAAACTCATGAAGCTTCCGCTCCTCATAGAAGTTCTCTCAAAGTAAGCTATTCAGATGTAGTCATTCGTAGCATCAGAACTTTCTCTCTGGCGCTAATCTGGTTGCTATCTATTGTAACTAGTTCTAATTCTTATCATTTGTATATGACTATTCACAGGAAGAATCTCCAGCAGGAATTCCTTGATCATGGAATACTCACTCTTCTGAAGAACTGGCTTGAGCCTCTACCTGATGGGAGCATGCCCAATATGAATATTCGATCTGCTGTACTGAAGTTACTATCTGATGTAGGCAAAAACTTTTTTTCCCTTCTGAGACATGGAACCACATTAGTTACAGCATAAGAGCACTGTTATACTTCGGGACCTACTTTCTCATTTAAGATTTGTTTCTGTTTACACAGTTCCCAATTGATCTTGAGCAATTCGACAGAAGAGAGCAGCTCAAGAAAAGTGGCTTGGGAAAGGTATGTCTTCTTAAGGATTGCATTCTGGAAAGTTTTGTTCAGATTATTGGGGGTGTGCTTAACTGCTGACTATATCCCATTATCGATGTCTAGGTTATTATGTTTTTGTCAAAATCTGACGAGGAGACTACTTCCAACAGAAAATTAGCCAAGGAACTGGTTGATAAATGGGTAATTTCTTGTTCTTCCTAATCATTTCTATTTGGTGCTGAAGGTTCATAGTCTTATGTATGACTAACTGTGAATGAACAAATACAGAGTCGACCAATATTCCAAAAGAGCACAAGATTTGAGGATATGAGGGCATATGATGGTGAAAGAGCTCCTTACAGGAGGCCTCAGATGAAGAAGTTAGTACTGCACTTTTCATTGACTGAATGACTGATGATCTATTAGATGGCATATCATCCAAATGACAACATTCTAATTTGAGCTAGCTGTCCTTATTCTGTATTCTTATTTGTTATGTTTTCTCTCGATTTAGGCCTTCATCAAGTAGTTCTGGAATGGAATCCAGAGACGATGATCTTGATGCTGACTTCTCTCAGTAAGTCTACTCACACATCGTATTTGAGTTACATTTGACATCTGGTGCAGGTACGCATACTATTCCCCTTTCCTCAGTTAATTTTTTCTGTGCTCTGAATGCAGGCGCAAGTCCGGGCAAAGTGGTTCTAGGCAGCATGCTTCTAGGCCAGAAGCATCACCTTTGGACTTTGTCATCCGTCCACAGTCCAAAATTGACCCCGAGCAGATACGGGCTCGTGCTAAGCAACAAGTTCAAGACCAGCGCCGGCTGAAGGTTCTGCCCCCACCTCTAGACTGATTTTTTTTTCTAGCATATTTTTTAGCTGGCATGTGGTACGTCATGCTGTGGAAGTTAGATCACTAATCCTTCATGTTGTGCATGCAGATGAACAAGAAACTGCAGCAGCTGAAAGCGCCGAAGAAGAAAAACCTCCAGGCTTCAAAGCTTAGTGTTGAAGGCCGTGGGATGGTCAAGTACTTGTAAGCTAGACACCCCCGACAGCCTTGCGATGCATATGATGGTGTGCGCTCAGCAGCGTGCTGCTGAAGCAGTATCAAGCACTCTTCCACCATCGCCATCGGAGGGCAACAAGATCGGTGGAAACGAAATTGCTTGGCTAATATAGTACTTGTTCCAAAACTGTCCAAAGCCTAGCAGGGTACATTGGGCGAGCTTCCGAAAACTTGGTGATTTGGTTTTTTTATCAGATGCTCATATATAATACCGTTATTGTGGACGATTACAGCATGGTGCCTTTACTGTACAAATGTTTGTCATGTTTGAGAAGGGCACCTGATTGGGCTGTAAGTTTAAGTTGGAGTGTTTTGGCTGTCTTTTCAAACATCTCTACCTGTATCCAGGGCCTGATGCATTATAATCAAAAGATGGCGCAATAAACAGATTTACTGTGCTGGAATGATGTACTCATAGACAGTAAAACTTGGGCAGGATTTTCATGCAACTAGGAAATGTTGTGTTGTACAAACTGTACTGACTGAAGATTATAACTACAGTTATTAGTAAGGAATGTACACAAGAAAGTTGAACATAAAGTTTGTTACTAGCAAAAAAGACTACTTGTATAGCAAGGGTTGTTCACAATTAACAAACCGAAAGTAGATGAGGTCTCCAACTTAAAGAGTGGCGGTTGCGGCTACGACGTGGAGTTTCTGCTCTTGAGCTCAAATACAGTATTATGAACAGTAAACTTTAAAAATAGCAAAAAAAGATAAAAAACATTTAAAGTGGTGATTTTTGAAAACATTTTAAATTGCTGATTTTTGTTATTTTTCTGGACCTCCATGAATGTGAATTCATCGCGAAAAATTGCATGCAGCCAGAAAACTAAACAATATTTGTTGTAAAAAACAAATCAGAATTTTGTTTCTATTTTTTATTTTACTGAGCATAGGATTAGAAAGACACTTTCACGTCTGTGGTTACTGCAAATTTTTTAGATGCAGCTACGTAAAGTTATTACCCCTAGTAGTACAAATTTGTGAAGATTTACTACACTTGTTACAATGATTAAAAGTTTGAAACTACAGTATTGAAACAAGAAAAAAGATCTTGATGTTGACAAACAACATCCATTAGAACCATATTCGCAAAAAAAAAAAAATCCATTAGAACCAGATCCAGTCAATGATATTTTTTTCGAGGGTACGCCAAAGGCGTACCTTAGCTTTATAGAAGGGAGAAAAATATGTACAAGAGATTACACGTGTGCTAGTTAGAGGTCACAAGTCGACCCTAACCAACCCTCCACGCCACTCCCTAATGCTACTCGACTACTCTATATCTATACGTCCTCCAAACGCTCCTGCTCTTGCCCAAGTCCTGAGATCATCGAAGATCAGGTCCACCGTATCCCATTCGTTCTTGATCAATCCGGTGCCAAAAACACTCGCGGTCCTTTGCTTCCATAACGTCCAACATATTAGCATCACGAAAGTGTCAAAGCCTTTCCGGGATTGCTTCTGTATTCGCTTTCTACCTTCTGACCACCACTGCACCAGCCTCGAGTTGTTGGATGGGCATAAGTCAGCCGTCAGACCCATCCTGGCGATGCAACGGAACCACACTTGCCGCGAGAAGACGCATTGCAGCAATATATGATCAACCGTGTCCTCCTCCTGATCACACATGTAGCATTGTGAGGTTTGGTCCTGCAACCCATGCCCGGCTCTCCTGTCTGATGTCCAGAGACGATATTGCACCGCGAGCCACATGAAAATCTTGCACGCAAGAGGTGCCCAACACTTCCATATTGCTCCGAAGGAATGGAATCTAGTTCCTCCCTCACACAACATCTTGTACGCCGAGGATGCAGTATATACGCCCGATGCACTCCAGGCCCAGATGGGACGGTCCTCAATCTGATCATCCAGCTGGACCTCCATGAGTATCTCCCAAAGCCCGATGAACTGAGTGAGACCCTCCGTGCATAGGTCTCCTACAAGATCGTCCATCCATGAATGCACGTGCATCGCATCTCGCACGAGTCTCCTGTATGCAACTTGCGTCCGCACCTTTGCCACCACCAATGGGGCAATCTCTTTGATTGTTGCACCATGTATCCATCGGTCTTTCCAAAACAAGATCTTGTCTCCCGATCCAACTTCCACTTAACTAGGCTCCCAAAGGCTTGGTCCACTTTTTTGTTCGCGGTCAAATTGAGTCCTTGCCAAGGCCTAGACTCATCCGTGCGTCGGAGCCATTCCCATCTCAATATTAATGCGATGCTGTGTTTAGACAGGTCAATGACTCCAAGCCCCCCATGTGCTTTGGCCTGCACACCTTAGTCCATGAGACAACACATTTGCCCCCATGTACCGCCTCCGTCCCGGCCCAGAAGAAAGCCCTACAACCTTTGTCCACTATTTCCAGAGCCCATTTTGGCGCCTCCGCGATCATTAGGTGATGGGTAGCGTGCGCCCTCATGACTTGGTTAACAAGTATGAGCCTCCCAGGCCTCGTCACCAGTCCCCTTTGCCATCCTGGAAAAATGTGTAGTGCTGTATCGACAATGGGCTGCCACTCGGATCTTTTTAGTTGCTTTATGCTTAGTTGGAGCCCTAGGTACTTGCATGGGAAGTTGTCAATCTTCCATGGTAGAGCAGACTTGACAAGCTCCTCATCCACACTCTCAGCCCTGATCATGATCGCCGCAGACTTGGCAAAGTTTACTTTGAGCCCTGACACCACTCCGAATATGGTGAGAATTTCCTTGACGAACATGAGATCTGGCCAAGTTGGCTTTATGAAGAGCACCACATCATCCGCGTACAGGGACAAGCGCTGCATAGGGCTACATCCATTGATAGTACTCAACACTCTAGCCTCATGTGCCTTGCTGATGATAGCCGTTAAAACGTCCATGGCAATAACAAACAGCAAGGGGGATATTGAGTCCCCTTGCCTAACCCCTTTGGCATGCATGAATTTCTCACCCGCGCAGCCATTCACCATAACTCTCGAGCTGGCAGTAGTAAGAAAAATCGCAATCCAAGAGATCCAACGCTCCGAGAAGCCTTTAGCCCTTAAAACCTCAAACAAGAACGGCCACGCCAGGGAGTCAAAGGCTTTCGAGATGTCAAGCTTGAGCAACACTCCCTTGGCTTTCCTCCTATGCATCGAACGCGCCATTTGCCGAACTAAGAGGAAATTGTTGTGTAAGCATCTTCCCTTGATGAACACGGACTGGTTGGTCTGAACAAGCTCTCCCATGCGTGGTCTTAGCCTGGCTGTGAGCAGTTTGGATGCTATCTTGGGCATACTATGCACAAGGCATATCGGTCTGAAGTCAAACACATCACTCGCTTCTGGGGACTTAGGTATAAGTGTGATCAAAGCTTGGTTAAGCCTTCCAAACCCCCTCCCGTTGCCAAGGAAAAGTTTATGGACCGCCGCGACAATATCCTCCTTGATTATCTCCCAAGCCTTTTGGAAGAATAGGCCAATGAATCCGTCCGGCCCAGGTGCCTTGTCCGAAGGCAACTCCTTGATTACCCCCCAAATCTCGTCTTCAGTGGACACACGATCTTGCTCGGAAAGATCAACACGCGTGACGCCCAGTCCCTCCAGATCTAGTGTGAAGTCTCGGGCACTATCCTTACTGAGCAACTCTTTATAAGCATTGTAGAACGCTTCCTCCTTGCCATTTTGATCCGTGATGATGTGTCCATCCATGGTCAAAGGAGGGTATGTAGTTTTTCATTCGTCTTCCATTTGCGACCAAGTGAAACAGCTGCGTGTTGGCGTCTCCTTCTTGAAGCCAAGAGATTCTCGATCTCTGCCTCGCAACGGTCCTCTCAAGGGAGGCCAGACCCAACACAAGCTTTTTAAGCATCCTTCTAAGCCATCTCTCCTCCTCTGTTAGCACTTGACTTTCCTGAGCACAGTCAAACCGCAAGATGACTATGTTGGTGATAGCAATTTGCAGTTTTATGTTGCCTATCTCCTTTTGTCCCCATGTTGCAAGAGCTCGGGCTGTATTACGGAGCATAATGCCAAGTCGCATGAAGGGATCCGTGATATCCGGGTCGCAGACCCAAGCCTCCTTGACAACATCCAAGAAACCGTCCATCTTGACCCAAAATTTCTCAAAACGAAATCTCCTCCTGACATGCATGCGCTCATGTAACGCAAGGTGAAGCGGGCAGTGATCGGAGTACTCAGTAGATAGCGCTTGCAGCAAGCAATCCAGGTGGTCAAGCTCCCAGTCGACGGAAACAAAGGCACGATCAATCTTTGTGAGCATGGGCGTATCCCTTTCGTTGCTCCACGTGTACTTTCGTCCATGCAGAAAGAGCTCCTTGAGCGCGTTATCATCCACGAAACGCTTGAACTTCCCCATCATTCTCCTGTCCAAGTTGGAGTTGCTTTTGTCTGCCGCGTATAGGATAAGGTTAAAGTCTCCCATAACTAGCCAAGGCCCTGGGCATAGCGATCTATGCTCTGAAAGCTCATTCAAGAAATTGATCTTGTGCTCATCCTCCCGCGGTCCGTATACTACTGTTAGCCACCATGGCACTCCCTCCGTGGGCGAGACATACCCAGTGATACTATGGGAGTCGTTGACAAAATTTGTCAAGCGTACCCGGGTGGTGTCCCAAGCCAGAAAAATACCCCCTCTAGTATCCAACGCCGGCAAATATGTGCAACCATCATAAGTCGGTCCCATGCATTGCAAGATTACAAAAGTGTCCACCACCTCTAACTTAGTTTCTAAGATACATACAATTGCCGCACGGACAGAGTCCACAGACCCTCTAAGCGCCTTCCTTTTGGCCAGATTGTTAAGCCCTCGAACATTCCAGCACACTAACTCCAGGGCATTGAACGCCATCTAAAAAGACGTCTCCAACACCACCGGTGCAATCGCACCTACTGCGCCAAGATCGGCTCAGCCATCCCTGCCTCCTCCGCAAGATCGAGCGGAATCACCTTCCCGAAAATCGCTGCTATGGCTCTCAACTGCG